TGAAATGGGATTCTGATTTTAAGAGAAACGAGACAATTAGTGCTGCAAAATATTGTTTTATCTCCTTTCAGGGCAAGCAAAAGAAGAAGTATTGGACGCTCTAAAAAATACACTGGAGACTTGTGTATGTTAGCAGGTGTGCCTCAAGATGCTCTTAGTCAATATCTCATAGCTGGAGAGTATCTGAGGGCTGCTAGTGATGTGCTGTGGCTTGCCGGAGCTCTTGAGGGCCAGTGTGCAGCGTCTTTAGTGCTAAGCAGAAATGAGAAAGTAACAGACAGAAATTCATTGATTCTGCCCACGAAATGTGCAGTGAACTCTGTGAACTTAGCAATTAATGGTTTAGGAAATGACGTTGATGAAACAAAGTTTAGAAATCCACAGCCACTTTGTGAAGAAGAGATTGTAGAGAGACTGTCTGAAGCTTTGAAGCTCTACAACAGAGTAAGTAACAGTTTATAGCTCTACAACCAAGTAAGTTCATATTTGTATGGAAGACATGTATGGCAGTACATTGTATATCTTGTGTGATCACGCAGGAGAGAGTACATGCACATGTAGTCTTAAGAAAACTTTTGTCCGTGGCTAGCACGCCAATAAACTGAGCATATTGTTTCTTGTGGTTTTGAATTTTTGCACTCAAGTAACCAATCCATGTTAGTAGTCAGATTTCTATAGAGTTTTGAGGGTGGTAAAAGGTATTTTCATGACTCGTGAATGGCCTTATTTTTTCACACAATTTTTCAATTTCACACAACATAATGTTTCTTATATTTATTTGCTTTTGTAGGTCAAAGGAGCTGCTGTCATAGAAACTGAGGCTAATCTTAAATTCACCAGACTTTTAATTACTTATCAGGTATTAAATATGTTCCATATCATTTCACTGTGAGTCATGTATCAGTTGCATTCTTTCAGTGAACTCTGTTGCACTTTCTTTGTTTACAGAGACGTATTGAAGCAAGTATAGCACTGCAGAATTCTCTGTCAGTAAATGTCTCACTAACGGAACAAGAAAAGGTAAAATCTTTTATATTTATTTATTATATAGACTCAAGTGTTTTACTGAAAAATGCACCACTCATAAATTCATTTGAAACCACAAGCGGGACTCGGGTGGCGTATTTTCCATATCCTCGCTAGTGAAGATATCGATAACTTCACTGAAATAATGTTTGACTCTTAAACTGTACTTAAATTTGTTGCTGTGTGATTGAAACATCCTTGGAACTTCCTTGAAATTCTTCCACAATCTTCTGTTATCTTTGGAAATCTTCTGTAATCTTCCTACATTTTTGGAAAATGTTCAGAAATGTTTGTGAGGTCTTCAGACAATATTTGGAGAATCTTCGGAAAGTGGTCGGAATCTTAGAAAATTGTAAAAAAAGTCATCATCAGTATGTTTATATAACAAACAAAATAATACATGGTTGTTTGTAGATCTTGTGTTCAACTTTATATCCCACCCATTCACTGCGCTCACTTGTGAGATATCAGGTTGAACACTCAAAAAGATAATCCATGTCTACATGCACCCATGTATTATCCTCTGTGCACTGTATACTGTACCATGGTGCAACGTACATGTAGTTAACAGATCAAGTGGTACAGACTCCCAGCAATTTATATTGCATGACGCATTGCAACTCACCCGGGGTGGAATGCTAGTGCATTGCCGGTCTTTGAACACCCCCCCCCCCCCCCCCCCCCCCCCCCCCCCCCCCC